TGTTTGCATTAGTTCATTGAGTTCTGAATTCACTGTTAGACGAGTCCACAGTGCAAATGAGGGTCGGCAATTAGCCTAATGAAGTGCAGAAGAAAATCACACTCAGTGCTGCGTTAACACTTGCTCGGTGAATATTCATGCGCTGTTGGTTTTGCAGATGTACTAAAAGGCGGCGCAGCGTTGCTGAATACCAATCATTGCATTTCCACCCGGCGCCAGTCTGGTCCCTCAGCTGAGGTGACGTCCTAATCAGCCTTGATGCTCTGGGGCTGTTTGCAGTGCGCTGAGGTGTGACCCTGTCCAGCTCCAGCTGCTGCTGGACAACATTTACCCCCCCCCCCCCCCCACTAAAAAGAGTCACTTTAAAAAAACTAATTATTGTAGATGATTTTAGTAAGTCAATGTTTTGCCATAGATGAAGTGGGCTTGAAGACCCAGAGCAGGCCAAGAAGAGGCAGCTTTTAGTAGTAGAAGCAATAAATAAACAAATAAATAAAGCAGAAACGTGTAAAAAAACAGGGGACAAAGAATCCAACAATGATCTAAAAAACAAGTAAAAAATACTAAAAATTTAAAACTGAGCACGTCGACCACAAGGCGTAGTAAAGTACAGATGTGCTGATTACTAACTCAGGTCTTGTGTGTGATAAGAGTTAAATGTGGAACAGTTGATAAAACTTAACGAAACAAAGCAAAAAACAGAGAAGCCAAAGAAATTAAAATGAAAGCAAAACAAGACAATACCAAAAGGATTAAAGAAAAAAAACAAACATCTAAAAATACTAAATCACACTGAGCAGGGAACATAACAAGAACCTCCAAACTACACCTCAGAGTGGAGAAGTTACTGCGTACTATTCAGTTCACACACAGTTCCCATTGTATAAACTGCTGAGTCATTGGATTAACTTTTTGCAGTCTATCAGTAAAATATTAGGTTTTACATTTTTAATATTATGTGCATTTTCATGGAGATCCCATTTTTTATATAAAAATGCTGCATTATATAATTGTAACAAATCATTCCTCTGCACAGATATTTTAAGTTAAGGTGGTAAAATGTTGAATCTGTACTTTTTTACAGAAACGCTGAGTTCTTGTTTATTTAGTATTTTGTCCTGACATGACACAAAAAAAGTATATATACATATATATATATATATACATACATACATACATACATACATATATATATATATACATATATATATATACATACATACATA